TGTGTCCTATGTTCTCTACTCTGTCTCTCTTTCTTCTGCTCTTAGACAACCGAATCCTTCATTCCATCTGAACCACTTGTCTCCTAAACAGCATTTCACGTAACCGACCTTCATCTTGAGACCTTGATCTCTCTTCTTCCTTGCTACATCTTTTAAATATTTCTAAATCTCTCTCTCTTTCTGTTAGATCATCATTTATGTATTCTCCTTTGTCTAGATTCCTCTTGTTTTTCATGATTTTTTTTTGTCTTCTATGCTGTTCAGCTTTACTAGGACTTTGTCTCCTGTCTTCTGACCTTTTCTACCCCTGAGTATGAACGCTGTTTGGACTACCACCCTGTGCTTCGCTGTGCGATCTAAGAAGTCACCCACTTTTTCTGTCAAATTCTTCTCTTCAAACTGCTGTCCCTTAATGATGACATTTAACTTCTTCTTTTCTCTCTCTCTCTCTTTCTCTCTTGTCGCTCTCTATCTCAAAAGTCCTGATTCTTTTTACCAACTTCCCTTTTTATGCTCTCCACTCTTCTTCCTCTTTTTCCCATGCTCTTTCCTTCTCCCTCCATTCTGCTCTGATCCCTTGTAGTGTGTCATCTAGTTTTTGCGTCGTCGTATTTTCTAACTTTTCCAATCTTTCTCCAATGCTCCTCTCTAGTCTCTCTACCCAGCGTGGTTGTAACTCCTCCTCCAGACTTTTCTCATGCACCTTATCTTTGTCTATCTTTGTCTTGCTAAAATCTGCCTCGATAATCATCTGCTCCACCGCTGTTGTTTTAAAGATCGTCTTGGTCTTGCTGGGCATGTTGCCTGTACGTGTGTTAGTCGTGCTCGTTATGCTTTTCTTCTCGTTTCCTTCCTCGTTCTTGTCGTCTTTCATGCCTGCTGTAAAAAAGCCTAACCTCCTTATTATAGGTTAACTCGTTCTGAGACTTGGAGTCTCATTATTCTGATATCTTTCCGGTTTCTGTGCCTTCCGCTTCTATCTTACTCGTAGTTTATGTTGGTTCTTTTTCTCTTACGTCCTAGAACTTTTGTTCTGCGGCTCTTGTTATTTTCTCGTGTACAATTGCTCCGCAGCTTGAACTCACGTGCGTCTTCTATCAGTGCTTCTCTAGTTTAAATATACATAATTGGTTGAAGTTTTAAAAGGTGTTACATCTTATTATTATAATTTTACTATTACAATTAAATTTCCAAAATCCGCTGCTTTCCGTACATGGTATACAATTTGTATTTGTTAAATACAATGGAGTGACATTCCTCACCCCACACTCTTGAACTTTGATCATTTCAATTTAATCCAGTTTTTTGTTTAAAAAAAAAAAAAAAAAAAAAAAAAAAACGTATCTAAAAAAAAAAAATGAAGGAAAAGAAACTAAAAAAAAACAAACCAGGGGGTATAAATGAGTCATGGGACCTATAATAAGAACAAAGTTCTTTAAACACAAAATGAGTGCCAAAAAATAACTAATTACAGATGTGTTTTAAAAGTATCATAAAATAAAGAAACGAAATTTGTCAGGTAACTAGGAAGTCGCGAGACCCATAGAAAGAACGAAGCTCTATGAGAATAAGTACAGCATTCATGTAGCTTAGTAAAATAAAAACTGGAAAAACAAATAAAAAAATTTAAAAATATTTCAGTACTCACGATGGTTAACTTCGTTCTTATCTTGGGTCCCATGACACATATATACTCCTTCGTTTTTTATTTCGTATTTATTTCTTTCGTATTCTTTATTTTTCTTCATTTTATTTCCTTTTTAAATTTTTCATTTAATCTTTTTTGTTTCACTCATTTTTTTTCATTCCATTGTANAAAAAAAAAAAAAAAAAAAAAAAAAAAACGTATCTAATATTAATACAATCTACTTTACGGGCCTAATATATAATAATGAGTAGGAAACTCTATAGCTCTATTGAACGTTAATAAGTTTAAGGATTAATAAACTATTGTGATGTTTTTAAGAAGAATTCGAATGTCAAATGTGTAAATGTTACTAATAATCAATGACTCACAATTTCCGAATAAGTCATTGAAAATTGCTGAACTACATTATTATAATCTTACCACGTGTCACCATTATAAACAAACTATTATAGAAGTGGTACTGCTACTGCTGTCGGTGTATTAGTGTAGGAGATCGTAATGTTATTAAATTTTGTAGGCAGTCAATTTATTTTATATTCTTTCACCCCTGGCTCAGTCTATAAAACTTATTATTTTTTCTTACTATTTAGTTTTTTTCATTAAAATGGTTGTTTTACATAAATTGTTTGTTAAAGAGATGACACTGACTCTTCTGCAAACCATTCAAGAGTTTCAGGGTCATGGATTATGGGCAAAAACTACAATTTGTTCTCAGTGTAGCAATGAGATGTACTTAGGTAAGAAATCTGATCTGACAGATAAGTACGTATGGAGGTGCTTTAAATGCAAAACCTTGAAGTCAGTGAGTAAAATTCTTGGATCGACGGTTCACATTTATCCATGCACAAAATTGTTTAAATTACGTACATGTGGGCATATCAGTTTTCTCAACATTATATTGTGAGAGAACCTGAAATTTCTAATAAAACATGTATTGACTAGTGTAATTTTTGTAGAGAAATTTGTGTCAAAATTGTCTTTTATCTAAGTGCTGGAGAACAAAGTGGAGGTGTCGGGAAAATCGTCAAGATTGACGAATCTAAATTTGGCAAAACGAAAGTACAATCGAGGCTAGCGAGTTGAAGGACAGTGGGTTTTCGGTAGTGTTGAGAGAGGTAGCAACAAGTGTTTTCTTTTTAGTGTTACTGACAGGTCAGCTGATACTCTAATGCCACTCATAAAACAGTATGCGAAACCGAGTAGTAGAGAAAGTAGTAGAAATCAGTACAGAAAACTATTGACTCTCATTTTTTTAATACTTAAGCTCTATCATTGCCATCTTCTGCAAACACACTGTATACTAGTCTTAAATTTGATAAATACATTAACCACATATCACACTATGCAAAAAATAAATACATCATGTTTTTTTGAATGTATTAGTAATAAGGATTATTATTTTTACACAAATAAAAAATAGTCGTAGAAGTAAATTAGCAGTGGTCGTGATAAAAGAATTCGTGTACCAAAAAGTTTCGTATTTTTCCACCGTACGTTTGAGGCAAAAAAAAATTATTGAGTTAAAAACTTTAACTATTCTTTTCGTAAGGCCCTTGTGCTATTAGTCATTCTGTATTTATAAATAATTTACGAACTCTGTATTTATGAATAACTTACAAATAACGTATTTTTATTACAGGTAACGGCACATATAAGTTATTACCATTTACGTGACAACTTCTTTCGTTCAAGTATCGTACAAATGTAATGTATTAAATATTCTTTTACTCCTCTTATTTTTTAAAAATTAATGAGTTGTGAGATCTACGATTGTATGAACCGTTATCCAAGACAGAGGGTTGTGAACAGAACAAGTTCATCGTAAAAAATCTGCAGTTAAACACCAGATAATTTAAATGAAATTCTAATATTTCCAAAGGAAAAATCTCTACTGTCAAAGCATTGCAAGGAATCGTTGGGTATCTTAGCACTGCTTCGCTGATGCCCCACTTCTTCTGCTAATTTAATTTATTGTTACTCTTCTAATATTCAACGGAATAGGAAGTCAATTTAATGTAACACAGGTACAAGCTGTTTAGTACAGACTATTACTGCGGAATTTTTCGAAATTGCACTAAACAGTTAAGTAATACGTTATTCATAACTCTATTTTGTCCAGTAAATGGCAACGTAACTAATAAAAGAATTATTTGTAAGATAGAATTAGCAAAAAAGCATGGTTATTTTTAAAAAATTACTTTTAGCACGAAAACAGTCATGGCGGTAGTTATTCAGTTTCTAAACTAATCTAAATAGATTAAGACTCTAAATTGTGTCAGCTAACGGTCAAAAAAAATAATAATAGTGGCCAAAAGTGATTTTTCGCGTAATAAAAAAAAACTAGAGAGTTAGACAAAATAGTTGTAGTAGTAAAAAAGATGCGTTATTTTAACACAAAGAAAATGAGTTCCAGTGGGATACAATCTGTCAAGCCGTTGTTTCGCAATTTGCAAAAAAGTGCTACGTACGACTGTTTCTTTCAAAATCTATAACTCACGTTGCTTTAAATATTAAGACTCAAAAAATAAACATAAAGTATATCTTACGTCCCTCAACATCCACACCAAATTTCAAGACGATCGGTTGTAAAATTCTTGCAAACCGCTGTGTTGCGGTAGGACCGCAGAGAGATGTATCAGGTCAGCCGCCGAAACTTCAGGGGATGGTATGAAGGATAGTGGTAGTGAATTTAGATTCTGTTAGTACACAGCACAATTACAATTTATTAAATTTCACTCACCAAAGCACACAGCTACATAACGCAAGTTCAACTCGGTGCAGTCGTGCACATACACACACGACCGACCGGCAGAGCATCCGAGCAATATCTGACCCTTGACAGCAGAGAGTCGCGCGCACACCTCTATCTCCTCTTTACACGCTGTATGCTTAGACAGTGATGGGCAGCGCTTTCCTTACGCATGCAGACAGGTGCTGTCATCTGTGTTGTAGTATGAATACAAGTTATGGAGAGCAGCAAAATCATACGGCACACATCCACTCATACCTTTTCCTTAACAAACCGCACGCCTTGAAATACAATTTTCAACAATTAGATACATTGATGTGTTGAGTTTTACAAAAGATATCTATGAACTTATTGTGTAGGGTATAATTTATAATCAGTTATAATAAAGAAACAGTTTACATACACGTATATAGACAGATTAAAGTGACGTATTAAACAGTAATTATCAATAAACAGTTCGATTAGCCAATTTAAATTATTTAAGCAATACAATTAATGGAGCGGTTCATAGTAATAAATGACAGTAACCATTAATTTTTATTTTTTTTTACAGAAACAACAAACATGAAAAGTATAAATTTAAATCACATGGAGTCATAAATCCTAATTACAATCCTTCTTCTCAAGGTCAATCGGTAAAAGTACCAGCTCCGTAATTGGTCGCAAATAATCAGATTTCGCAGTTTTAACTTTCACTGTGCGAACATGACCATCAGACCCCGGGAAGCATTCTATTACACGTGCAATATTCCACTTTGCAGGAGGACAGTTAGGTTGTTTTAAAAGAACCATATGACCTATCTTCAGTTCCATTTCAGGTAGCCGCCATTTAGTGCGGTGTTGCAGAGACTGAAGATAATCATGGGACCATTTTGTCCAAAACAGTTCTAAATTTTGTTGCATCCTAGCCCACCGAGTCAAACAATTCGAATTGCTGTCAAGGAGAGAACATTGTTGCACTAAATAAGGTGGCCCCCCAGTAAGAAAGTGCCCTGGGGTCAGTGGGTTCAAGTCATCAATCAAGTCGTTTAAAGGTCTGAGGGGTCGAGAGTTCAAAACTGCTTCGATCTGACATAGAAGCGTAGTGAGCTCCTCATAGGTAGGAGTTTGATCCAACAACACACGCTTTAAATGTGTCTTAACACTCTTGACTCCCGCTTCCCAAATTCCCCCAAAATGAGGTGCTGCGGGGGGGATAAAATGCCATTGAATGTGTTCCTCAGTCACAAACGACTGAAATGGTAGACTTGAAACAGTCTTGATATACTCTTCATGGAGCAAACGATCAGCTCCTTGAAATGTGGTTTCTCGGTCACTGTTCAAGTGAGAGGAAGTCCCGCGTCTAGATATAAAACGTCTGAATGATGCAATGAAGGTTGGAGAAGAATAATCTAAGACTAATTCTAAGTGAATTGCTTTAACTGCGAGATACACAAAGCAACAACATAACATTGCTGGGATTGAATACCACGACCGCCCGCCATTCGTACTTGAAGGGGTCCAGGATAGTCAATGCCACAAGATGAAAATGCGCGGGAAGATGGAGTTACCCTGGACTTTGGTAGATCGGCCATTAACTGAGATGACAATTTGGCGCGTATTTGTGCACAAGGAANTTGAAGGGGTCCAGGATAGTCAATGCCACAAGATGAAAATGCGCGGGAAGATGGAGTTACCCTGGACTTTGGTAGATCGGCCATTAACTGAGATGACAATTTGGCGCGTATTTGTGCACAAGGAAGACACTTAAATATAACAGACCTAATTTTCGGCCTAGGATTAATTAACCAAATAGTTTGCCGGAGAGTACTGAGGGTAAGTTTCATACCGCCATGTAGGCACCGCATGTTAATATAATGAATAATGGATGAGACCAAAGGATGAGCATGTAATATAACAGAGTGCCGTGCCTCGTAAGGTAATGCAGAATGATCCAAGCGTCCACCAACACGTAAAACACCAGTGGCCTGGTCAATGAATGGGTTCAGTGACGACAGCTTACTATGGGAGGGAACACTTAAACCTTTTTGCAATGCTTGCAATTCAGTAAAAAACATTTGTCTTTGCAAGAATACAAATATCAAAATTTTTGCTTCATCCAATTCCTGCAATGAGAGAGGGCCAAACCAGACAGAGACCTTAGCACCGGTTGCAGAATTAATGTGGCGAGATTTTGCCTTTAAGTTGTTTTTATACCGTAGTAGATATGCAGTGATTCGGACGACCTTTAACCAAGACGAAAACTTATTAACTACTATGTACAACGGATCATTAGAATCATCAACTACATGAAGTACCTTGACCTTTATTTCCATGGCATCTTCTGGTGGAGGATCAAAGAACATAATTGGCCATTGTGATGGAGGATGATGTAACCAGTTGGGCCCAGCCCACCAGAGAGAACTGGTTGCCAAGTCATTTGGAGTGCATCCTCTAGACGCTAAATCAGCAGGATTAGATACGTGTCTCCATTGATGATCGGAGAGCAACTCATGTATGGCTGCTACCCGATTAGAAACAAATAGTTTCCATGTGGAAGCATGCCTTTTCAACCAGGCTAATGTAATACTGGAGTCAGTGCAACATTGGATAGGAACATGTGAAAATGCCCGTGCCCCACTCAATTCTGTACAAAGTTGGGCTAACAACAATGCCGCCTGAAGTTCCAATCGATGGATTGACACTTGTTTGATAGGAGCGACTTTGGTTTTACTGACTAGAAGAGACACACCCACTATTCCTAATTCATTAATGGTTCTAAGATATACAACTGCGCCATACGCTTTGTTTGATGCATCACAAAATCCATGAAGTTCACTTGACTGATTATTCACATGAAATCCATTCCAACGTGGAATTTGAATTTGTGAAAGCGTATGTAGTGATTTAAAATAATCAAACCAATGTCGAGATACTGAATCATTCATTACCTCGTCCCAAGGTATTTCCAGTAACCAGAGCTGTTGCATGAGGATTTTGCCGTTAACAACAACTGGTGAAATCCAACCAAGAGGATCAAACAACTGAGACAAAATTAAGAGGGCTTGTCTTTTAGACAATGTGGAAGGCAGATCTAAATCAAGAGAGAATGTGAATGTGTCAGTGGAAGGATGCCACCTCAATTCAAGCAACTTGACCCCTCTATTGTCGTGGGAGAGAGAGTTCCATTCTAATCCATATTTAGTCGGGTGAATGTTCGAAACCAAACGTGAATCATTGCTTGCCCACTTATGTAACTCCAGTTTAGCCTTTTCAAGCAACGCAATAACTTGATCTTGAACCTTAAAGGCATCTTCAAGATTATACGCTCCAAAGAGAATATCATCAACAAATGTGTCGTAATTTAAAACTAAAGCAGCAAGTGGGTACTGGAGTCCTTCATCTAAAAATAATTGTTTAAGTACATGTAGAGCGAGATATGGAGCAGACCTTATCCCGTATGTGACTGTATTTAATTGATAATCTACAGGAGGGCTTTCAGTGGTTAGACGCCACAGTATGCGCTGGTAATCGCGGTCAAGAATGTGAATTGAAATTTGTCTATACATCTTGGTGATGTCAGCCACGAGTACCAATGGATACGAGCGCCACTGCATTAAGATGAGGAAGAGTTCAGATTGCAGTTTGGGACCAGTGAGCATACACTCATTGAGCAATGTACCATTAGATGTTTTGCATGATGCATTGAACACTACTCTTAGCCTTGTTGTTGGATTTTTATCACGAATAATGGGATGATGGGGTATATAAATTATCGAAGATTTATTCGACTAACCACTATCAACGTGAGTCATATGGCCGAGAGACTCATAATCATTCATGAACTCAGAATAAAGCAACTGATGTGCCGGATTAGAACTTAGACGCGTTTCGACTTTCTTGAGTTAACGTTCTGCGATTGATCGCGATTGTCCTACCTGTGGAGCCATATTCAACTTGAATGGTATACGAACTACATATCGTCCTTCATTGGTTCGCGAATGAGTTTTGAGAAAGTGCATTTCACACTCTTCATCTGCGGGAGAAATGATGGGTTGTTGAGGAAGACTTTCAACTTCCCAAAATCTCTGAAGTAACTGATCAAGATCATTTATTGCTATTGAATGATGCACTGGGACAGATAATTCTATAGTGGGGTTCACATTAGAGCAGGGACCTAACACAACCCATCCAAAGACTGTTTGTTGAGCAACTGGTTCGTTGATCCTTCCTTTGCGTATTTGATTAAGTAAAATAGAACCGTATAGATCAGCCCTGATGAGTAATTGAATTTCATCAGTGGCTGAAAGATCATCAGCAAAATTTAAACCTTTAAGGTGAGTCCACTTGGTCAATGGACCAGGTGCATGAGCAGAATACGAGGTGATTGTGGGTAGGACTAAGGCTTGAGTTTGACACACAAGCTGGTGAGTCTGATTGAACAATTTAATGTTGATAGCATGAGATGTACTACTAGCTGGGGTGCCACCCAATCCTGTCACTGATGCAGCTATATTGATCAAAGGAGATCCCAATGCAACCGCCACTTTATGAGATAAGAATGACCAAGTTGACCCTTGATCAAGCAACGCGCGAACTTGAATTTTCTGACCAGTGTGAGACGGCACCTAAACCCTGGCGGTGGCTAACAGTACTTTTTGCCGAGCAGCTTGCCGAGAGATTCTAAAACCCGAATTCGTTCTAGTAAAAATTTATCAAAGGTGTCATATTGAGGTAAGGTAGTAGTAGAAGCAATACTAACCTCCACAGTCACGCTGAGTTTGTGGATCAATTTTTTTCGTAAGGATATGAATAATAATTGCGCCATAATGTTGAGTAGGACACCCGAGATTCTGTAAAGCCGCGAGGTTACGTTGAACAGTATTTCGTAAATTCAACAAACTGGAAGCCGATTCCTTTTTAATGGGCTCTATTTTTAAAATTTCCGAATAGGGTGCACTAGTGGCAATTCGCTTATTTTCATACCGAGCTTCGAGTAAGGTCCATGCTGTATTAAAATTCCCGTGAGCAAGTTGTACGTTACAAATTATTTCGCTCGCTTCGCCTTTGACGCAGGCTTTCACATAATGCAATTTTTCGATATAACTTAATGACGCGTTTCATCTCACAAGCGCTGTGAATGAGTCACGAAACGGCACCCATTCTGTGAATTAACCGGAGAAAAAAGGTATGCTTAACCTGGGTAGATTGACGTTGTTTTCCGCGCCAACCAGCCGATCCGTCAATTGTCGAGTTGGTGGGTTGGCTGCATGAGTCCAGATGGCTACTTGGTCCTTGGCACTGATGTACTCTACCTCGGCATTTTAAAGTTGTTTTGTCGTAAAGTAGCTTTCTTGATTTGTGCCGGCTTGAGAGGCATATGAGCAGATGCTCCGATGTAGTTCTTCGCATTGACTCCAACATTGTTCGAGACGATCCGATCGACTTTTCAGAATTGGCAAAATTTGATGCTCAACTTTAAGTGTTTTTACGTAGTCGATTGCACGGTATAATGCTTCTATAGCCGTTGCCTGATCAGGGTACAACTGATCAAGTAGTTTAAGAACCTCTGCTTTTTCTTCGTCAGGCATGATGCCGTCTTTTGTTTTGGTTAGCACTACTGGATTTCGTAGAAACGCTGCCTTTTTCAACACGCGCACTAACACAGACCGATGCACTTAACACAAGAGTTGCAAGACTTAAAATGGCCGTTGTTGATGCGCTACGGTGTTAACGATGGATGCTTGATGCTTGACGATACGCCTCTTGGTATAGGGCGTGCTTACTTTTTTAATTCGTGGCGTAACGTTGCTTGTTAATTTTTTCTTGAGTGTACGCCTCTTGGTGCAGGGCGTGCTTGCTTTTTGTGTGACTTAACGTCTTTTCGCTGCGTGATGACTGCACGGCTCTTAGTACAGAGCGCGCAGGCTTTTTCTTTTTCCCTAGATACCACTATCCTGGCAGGATCGCCATTTGTTGCGGTAGGACCGCAGAGAGATGTATCAGGTCAGCCGCCGAAACTTCAGGGGATGGTATGAAGGATAGTGGTAGTGAATTTAGATTCTGTTAGTACACAGCACAATTACAATTTATTCAATTTCACTCACCAAGTCACACAGCTACATAACGCAAGTTCAACTCGGTGCAGTCGTGCACATACACACACGACCGACCGGCAGAGCATCCGAGCAATATCTGACCCTTGACAGCAGAGAGTCGCGCGCACACCTCTATCTCCTCTTTACACGCTGTATGCTTAGACAGTGATGGGCAGCGCTTTCCTTACGCATGCAGACAGGTGCTGTCATCTGTGTAGTAGTATGAATACAAGTAATGGAGAGCAGCAAAATCATATGGCACACATCCACTCATACCTCTTCCTTGACACGCTGCAAGAAGCAAAAAATGGTCCCTCCGCAAAAAAGTTGGACGTGGCTGGTTTTTTAACATAATGGCATTTTTTTAACAGCATTGTACTCGTAGAGAGTTACTCTACAACCAACCAAAACGTCAATCTGTTTGAAGTTTCATAACTCCATGAAAAATTGATGTCAAAAACTGGCTATTTTTCATGGATGTGGTGGCGTGGCAAGCCGCCGCCGTCATGCCCCCTTCCCGCATCATAGCTTTGGATATTATAGGAGTTTGAGAGAGGCTTGCTGCGCCACCGTATTCACGTAAAATAGCTTGTTTTTAACATCAATTTTTCGCGTACTTTTGAAATTTAAAACGAATTGACGTTTTGGAAGGTTGTAAAGTAACTCTCTACGAGTACAATGCTGTTAAAAAAATGACACAAGACATACTTTATGTCTATTTTTTGAGTCTTAATATTTAAAGCAACGTGAGTTATAGATTTTTAAAGAAACAGTCTCACGTAGCACTTTTTTGCAAATTGCGAAACAACGGCTTGACAGATTGTATCCCACTGGAACTCATTTTCTTTGTGTTGAAATAACGCATTTTTTTTACTACTACAACTATTTTGTCCAACTTTCCAGTCTTTTTTATTACGCGAAAAATTATTTTTGGCCACTATTATCATTTTTTTGGGCCGTCAGCTGACACAACGAGTCCAAAACTATTTACATTAGTTCAGAAACCGAATAATTATTACCATGATTTTTTTCAAATCAATATCAATTTATTCCTTTATAAAGCTAATTCTATCCTGCTATATGAGGTATGCGAATGTCAGGACGGTCAAATACGGTACAGTGATAATTAAAGCAGAAGTTTAAACCAACAGCTATTTGCTAAGCATCTGATTCTTGCCTGAAGTGTTGCAATTCTAGAGACACATAGTTGAATTTTGAAACGCAGCTTCTTCTAAATTTTTACATTTAAAGTTTATCAAAAACATTTAAAGGTGTGCCTTGCAATGACAAATTTTTCACTTCAATTATCATTCTGAAGTCAGAACGTTGAAACGTGAACTGCAACTTCGTCCTAAATAAAAATATATGATGAAAAATACAGATGGTAAGTCATAATTAATTTTTGTACGTATTTTTTATGGCAATCAGCTCACTTTGTACATACCTCTTGAAACGAATTACTTGTAAGAGTCATTATACATGTTTATGTATACGACGCTACATACAAAGAGTGCATTCTACCGTATAAATCAAAACCATAAAAAAGTTATATTTTTGTTATCTATTAAACATTTTGCATATAATGTACGCATACATCGTATCATTTTGTAAGAAATGTATTATGTATTAAACATATAATACCACAAAATAAGTTTTTCTTTAGCTACACATAAACGTAGGATGCAAGGTAGTGATAGAAATCGGATAGTGACTACACATGATGAAGTCCTTTTAGCCAACAGTGAAACAGATGTGCACAGCCCTAACAGAAATTGGAAATTTAACTTGTATAATGACTTGACTATAAGTATAATTTAAATGAAAAGCACATTGAATTCTTAATTTTTTAAACATCTTGTTGCCATTTATGAGTGAACTAAATAAGAAAATATAATTAAATTATTTATTTGCATTTCTTAAAGTCAACTTATATAATCCCACTACACGGAAACAAAAAAAACTTAATTCTTGAGAAGTGAGACAGTGTGGCAGAAGGTGAAAGATTTCAAACCATGGCTTAAACCCCACGTGGAGAATCGCTCAAGAGTTCACTGTGAGCCATGTAACATCAATTGAGACGCTGAACTGTGGATGCTTAGGAGGTATGCTATCCGTAAAATTTATTTAAATAATGCTAGGCTTAAGGAAGCACCTGCTTCTCAAGACTTTTAAGTTCCAGCTGAATTGTAAGATGTGACCAGAGCAGAGTTAATGTATGCAGCCATGGCTACCAAATTTAAAACTCCCTTTCAAACTTTACCCAAAATTTTGAAGTGGTTAAGCGCTATGGATAAACGGAGAGTTATTTTCAATGAAATAAAGTGTGGCGTCACGAAAGCTCAAGTTCTGGTAGTGAAAGTCATTGCATCAGTAGGTAAAAAGAACTAGCTCAAGCTTTGCGCACATAACCATTCAGTATTTGTATTGACGAAAGCAAGAGCGTTAATAAAGATAAAGCTTTAGCTATTTGAATACAGTACACTGATCTTTCAAATGCTTATGTAATGAGGCAGCTCTGAAGCTAGGAACCCATTTCTTATGAAAGCGGTGAAGCAAAAGCAGGATCAAAATGCATTTTTCAATGTATAGAGCGATCGTTTGTTGAATACAATATTCCCTTATAGATAATTATGTGCTGTTGTTCAGATGGCTGTTCGGTAATGACCAGCCTATCAAGCGGCGTGAAAGCACGATTAATAGAGATTGTTTTTAGTATTTTGTTTGTTACCTGCTCAGCGCATATAATGCATTTATGTGCTGAGAGCACGATGACAGTAGTTCCCTAAGACATCAGCACTTTGTTAAAAAAGAAACACTCAATATGCTAAAAAGTTGCAAAAAAATAATAAAATTTGAAAATTTCAAGATAAATACCTTATTAGAGATGTCCAAAGAACTGTCAAAGACAAAGGATAAGTGGGGCCTAAAAGTGTTTCCATTATTGAAAAATAGAAAAAAAATTATACGTCCTTCTTATTCAACACACTTTTTTTGAAATAAATACCCTCAATTTTGATGTCTCGATCCTGTCAATGCCACATTAATAGAATCCAAACAAAACGATACTGTTGTACTTGAACTATTTAAAAGTATATTTATAAATTTTATAACAAAAACGCAGGCAAAGTAGACACTATAAATAAAAAATGGGTCAAAATATCAAATATTCAGCAAAAAAATCGAGACCTTCAAAATAATGACATTTGAACTTTTGGCTAAGGGTAAACAATATGCAAGGCATTGATGGTAAACTTATTTTTCCAGCGCTTGGCTTGGCAGATCTGCATGCACTTTCTATCCCACATGGAATTGCGGGACCTGAAAGAGAATTTAGTGCAAAATGCAATTTAAAAACAAAAATCGTAATAGATTAAAAAATAAGAGCGTCGAAGGAATATTCCGAGCCCATGATGTAAGTTATTACAAAAGCAAAGACTAAGTTTTTATTTTATCGTTAGAAACGACAAGAGTTACTTAAAAATAAAAAAAATTAAAAAAAAGGATCTTAAGAAGCTGTCCTGATGCAAAATGCTTGCAATTGAAATAATAAACAAAAGTGTATCGTAGTCTTGTAGGATAAAGTCACTGTTCATGAGAGCCAGAACAGTTTTTTTTAAGAAAGATTGTATGCACGATAAATTATCTATATACTAAGCTGTTATTTGGTATTTAGGTTGTGTGGTGTGACAGAGTCAATTAAATGTTGTAATAAGTACATCTGCTGGTTATTTAATTGTTCTCTAAAAATTTATCAGTATTATACTGATTCAAATTGTTATACAAAGTTTTCAGTTAATACTTATTAAGTATTTTTTTATCATACCGAAATACAAGTAAATTTTGCATATCCATCTGATTTTGAGTACAAAAACAATTGTGATCAAAGTACCAATTTCATAAGTAATGACAGCAGCATCTTATACAAGTCTTGCATGGAACTTAAACCAAGGAAATTTATCGCTCACTCTAGTATGCTATATCAGGACTTCACTAACACTAAAAAAATCTCAACATCCTAGGCTACAATATAAGATACAAACAATTAGAGTATAATCAAAGTTTTAAAATGGTCCTTGCATACTAAAATGGTAGATTCATGTCTCTAGAACAAAACCCATAGTAAGGACTACTACTACAATAAAAAACTATTGGTTTCATATAAATCATCTGAGGGCACATGCCAGATGAAATTTTCCGTAATCATACTTGCTTAGGTCACTTTTGTACCGACATAATTCTGTCGGTCCCATTGGATTTGTACGATTGCTACATTACCAATCTCACATAAAGCTGTTAACTGTTGATGGACGATTGATTATTTTTAGAGTACTTAAACAAAAGCGAAGATCCCCTGTAATAAAGAATTTTGATTTTGTTCGTGGCTTTAACTGTGGCTTGAGTTGAAAACTAGATATGAACAGATAAGTCTTAAAAAAGAAAAATAATACATACTTCCAAAAAATGGTGCTCACCCACTAGTAGGACGACGCACA